CAGCAGGACGCGCAGCAGCCGCAGCAGCCGGGCTGGCAGCAGCAGGTCTCGCAGCAGTCCTGCTCCTCCGTGCAGCAGGTGAAGCAGTCCCCTGGGCAGCACCCCATGATCCCTGCTGGTCAGGGCGCAGTTCAGGAGCGCAGCCGGAGTTCCCCAAGTCTGACGGTCACCAGCTGGACCGCAGCTTTTATATCCCCTCCTGGAGGGTGTGGGCACCAGGGCCAGGTGTAGCCTCTGTTGTTATTTATGCCAGTGTCCTAAGAACGTCTCATTAGCTGCCTGTTTATTTTCCAGCCCTGAGTACCTCAACTCATAAAAAGAGCCCCACTCCTCCCAACTGCTATTTGTCCAGAGGGTAAAAATACAGCTTGGGAAAGACCTGTCATCACGGTCAAACACGGGCCAGGCATCATTAGCCCAAGTTGGAGAGAGGAAGGAGCCCCAGGGACTCTGGCTCTGGCAGGGGCGCTCCTCTTCCTTGGCCCCCCTCTGGTGGCAAGTGGGCAGCCTGCCCTTTTGTGGCGGATGCTAATCCTGGAAGAAGGGGATGGGAAAAGCTGGATGCCCTGTGCCCTCCGCCACAGGCAGACGCTGCTGAGGAGGCCTGGCCGTGTGGCTCCTCCCAGCTGGAAACGGCATCTGCATCCCGGCCCGTGTGAGCAAGGCAAATATTTGTGCGTGTGTGTGTGTGTGTGTGTGGTATGTGGAGTGTGCCGCACTTTTGTTTGGGCTTGATCACTGACCATCAATCTTGGGTAATAACTGCCCTGGGGAATGGACAGAGACTCATCATAAAACTGCAGAAGGCGGGGGAGCCACGTTTCTCTGGGCTGCGCGATGAACTGAGCACTCACCCTTCTCTCCACATGGGCAGGAAGGGCAGTGGTCAGAGCCTGCAGCGCCCTGGCCCAGGCCTTTCCTTAATAGAAGGGGGGGGGAGGCAGGGAGGGGATCATTGAACATCCAAAACACTGCATTAAAATGGGAAAGTTGTGCACTTTTTTAAAGACCACCTGGCAGAATGAGAGAGAAGCGTACAAAATACCTTAAGCATCATCCAGCGAACAAAACGCTGTTGGAAGACTGGAATCCACAGAGGACTCGGGTCCATATGTGAGTTCTGAGAGGGGTCAAATGTCCTGTCTCCATCCGGGCTTTGGGACCTTGTCACCTTCTTGGAATGATAATAGCAGCTCTGGAGCTTGTAGGCTCAGCCCTGCGACAGCAGCACCCAGAGTGGGAGGTGGGGATGGAGGGTGGCTGTGGGCGCAGAGATCTCGATCAAGGGGCACAGTCCCTCCTTTTCAGTTTCCTTTCCTTTTTCAGGTGAGCCTGGGGGTAAGGCAGCTTCTGGAAAGGGCCAGAAGTACTGAGCACCGGGAGGTGAGTGGAGTGGAGACAGGGAGAAGGGATGTGGTTGCTTGGATCTGGTGTGACACTCAGTGCCTCGCGGGAGGCGGAATGTTAGAACTGGGAGGAACCCCAACAGAGCATGTGGTCCAGGGTTTCTAAGCCAGATTTTACAGTCACAATTGCCTAGCGGGGGTGGGGGCTATTGAAAAATACAGATTTCAACCTGCACCCAGTTCTGTTAAATCAGTATGTGCTCGTGGAAGCTCAAGAAGCTATATATTTATAAATTTCCCAGATGACTCAGATTATCAAATAGATTAGAAAACACTAATAAAAACTTAATGCCGCCATGACTGTCACCCACAAGCACTTTTTTATGCAAAAGATAAAATATCAGGGCCCAGACAGAACCATTCATGATAGACTTGACCACAAATGCTGCCTCCTGGTCCAGTGTCCCTCCCACCAGTGCCTTCCCACAAATGGACACCTCTGGGTAAGTGTGACACAGCGGTGGGCCCGGCAGACACACTCTTTCCGTTCTTTTTTAATAGCAGGCAGTGCATTCATGTGGTCAAGGCGCAGAAGGGACGCAGTGAGCAGGCTCCCTCCTCCTGTGTCCTGCCAGGCCCGCCTCGCACCCACCCTCCCTGTCCCCAGTATTCCTGACCCCCCTGTACCTGCACTTACTCCACTCCAACGTGGAACTGTGATGATAATCCCGTGGCACCAGTCTCACAGGGCTGCGGGGAAGGAAGGATGCCTTAGTGTATGTGCGGATACGGCACTTAGGACAGTGATTGGCCACACGTTGTCTGATAAACAGATTATTTATATACAAAAAGATAGCTGTATAGATTATATATATATATAGTTTATTACACAAATGGTAGCATAATATGCACACTGTTCTTAACTCTTTTTTTCCTCTCAGCAAGGTATCTTAGAACTCATTCCAAATCAGCACATAAAGTTCTTTCAGTAGTATTGTACCACTTATTTAACCAGTTCTCTATCGAAAGACATTTGTTTCTCATTTCCAATATTTTGCTATTATAAGCTTTATTTTTTAATATTTGCTCTTATGTAATTTAGCATATCTTTATATATCCCATAAATTCTTGGAAGAGAAATTGCTGAGTCAGTGAGCTTTTGTATTTGTAATTTTGATGGATGTTGCCAGGTTACCCTTCATAAAGATTGTACCAGTTTTCACCCCCCTTGGCAATGTGCGAGAGTACCTGTCTCTTCAGGCTTTACCAACACAGTGTGTTATCAAAATTGGACCTTGCCAATCTGATGGGAAAAAGATAGCATCTTGAAATAGTATTAACTTGCATTTCTATTATTGCAAATAAAATTAAGCAATGTTTCGTACGCTCAAATGCTATTTTATGCTCTCTTTTCTGTGGATCATCTTTTCTATTGTCCAATTTTTCATTGGGTTGTTGGTTTTTTTCTTTGATTGATAGGAATCCTTTGTGAAATAGAAAAAAAAGTTTTGTCTGTATTATGAGTTAAAAATATTTTTTCCCAGATTGTCATTAGCTTTTAACATTGTATTTAAATAACAATAATAACAACAATAATAAACGTTTACATTATAAATTTCATGCCTGCTTATTGTGGAATTTCTGAAAAATACAAAATAGTTAAAGACAAGAAAATAAAAATAGCTATAACCCCACAAGAATGATATTTACTCCTAATATTCTTGTTTCCCTTTTAGTGTTTTTTCTAAATATTTCCATATAAATACTGATATGAATATAAATATATATACATACAGACTATATCCATACAAGTCCATATATATCAAGTACAAATTTCTAAATCCATGTTCCAAGGTGTGTTAAAGGGTATATAACTATTTTTCTCTAAATCTGCTTAAATCTATTTCAAACCTACATTCCAGCTTATGGGGGCAGAGAAGTCACTTGTGTATAAGGTCAGAAAGCCTCCCTCCCATCCGTCATCTGGAGATGGTATCTGAGTTTGGAGGCTTGGATAGTATCATAGCATCAAAGAGAGTAGCCACTGGCTCAAGGTGGGCATCCACTGAAATGGGCACGGTCCTCCCTATTCCCGAGCACCATGCTCCCTCTGCGGCACCAGCTGGCATATCTGAGCTCTCCCTGCTCGTCACAAAGTCTTTAGCCTTCCATCACGCCATCCGGGAAGGCCAAGGTCTTCTCTGTCACTTTCCTCCACCACAAAAGCCTCTTTTGAATTGCATAAGCTCAACATTGGCATGAGTCATTCTCTCTGTGTTTCTACAGGAATAACCCTTCCCTGGGGGCGGTGAATATTGGAAAGACTCCACTGCTGTCCAAGTCGTGAGGAAAGAGCAGCAGTGAAAGAAATTGCAGAAGGAAGGTAAGATAGTGACTATTTTAAGGTTTCGTCCTGACACACAGTTTTACAAAATCAAAATCATACTGTGTAAATTGATTTATGCACTGAATATTGTACATAACCTGAGAAAATGCTCATAAATACATTGATTATTAAATACTATAAATATTGGAGCATTTATATTTTCATTTTGATGTGAACCTTCCCTATTGTTGGATAAGTTGTTTCCAGTTTTCCAATATTGAAAGAAAAACACTGAGATGAACTTCCTTAAATGTGAACCTGCATGCATCTTTCTTACCTCCCTAAGATAAATTCCTCGAAATGTGATTACTGAATCTTTAGCATGTTAATAAATTTAAGGCTAGGAATAAATATTTTAAAATCATCCTCCAGAAAAATTGTCCCTATTTGTACCCATTTCACCGTGCCTTCACCAATGCCAGTTTTTTCTTTTTAATTAAATTGATTGGGGTGACATTGGTTAATAAGATTACATAGGTTTCAAGTGTACATTTCTATGCTACAGCATCTGTATATTGCACAGTATGCATCAGATCTTCCTCCGTCGCCATATATTTGACCCCCTTTACCCTTTACTACCCCCCATCCCCCCTCCTTCCCCCTGGGAACCACCATGCTCTTGTCTGTGTCTGTGAGTTTTCATTTGTCTTATTTGCTCATTTGTTGCTTTCAGTTTTATATCCCACATATGAGTGAAATCATATGGCTCTTGACTTTTTCTATCTGGCTTCTTTGTCAAGAGATTTGTCATGACTCACAGTCCAATCGTGAAATCTCATTGTAGTATTTATTTGTACTTATTTCATTATGAGTGCATTTATTTCATAGGTCACTTTTATTTCTTCCTTTGGGAATTATCTGCTCATGCCAATTTTTCTGTTAAGCTATTCATCTTTCCTAATTTATTTATAAGAGCTTATTTTACGCTACATATATTAACTCTCCTTTCTGTCACTCACACGTGTTGCAGAATTTGTCCCAGGGTATCATTTCTTCTCCATTGTGTCTATGGTGTTTTTATGCATATTATTTTCTTTTTATATAGGAAAATATACATATATTTTTTCTGCTGCTTTTATGCTTTGAAATTTCTTCATCATCCCCAAACGAGACAACTATTAACTTTAGTTTAGTTTTTATAGTTGCATTTTTTTCCACTTCATGCTGTTACCCATTAGGAATTTATTTTGAGGTGTGGCAGATACGCTTTACAGAAATGTCCTGGTATTCCTAATTGGGGGACGCAAGTGCATATTAAATGAATGCTTAGTGTGCAGTAAAGTACACATGGCGAGGCCTGGCAGGAGTCATTAAAAACCTAGGCACGGCATCTGTCCTGGCGGCCTCCTCTAGTGTTTATCAAGTGACATGACACTTGCAGCTTCTGGTTTTCTTTTAGAGACAATCACAAAATAAGCCCGGCCGGGTGTGGCTCAGTGGTTAAGCGTCGACCTAGGATCCAGGAGATCGGGGTTCGATTCCCGGTCAGGGCACATGCCCAGGTTGCGGGCTCGATCAATGACTCTCTCATCATTGATGTTTCTATCTCTCTCTCTCTCCCTCTCCTTTCCTCTCTCTGAAATCAATAAAGATATATTAAAAAAATAAAAAATAAAATAAGCCCCAATTCTGGCTTCACCAAAGCAACTCAACAAAAACTTAGTTTGATGTGAGAAGCTTATTATATTATATGGCACTGATTTAAATCATGTGTCCAATCAACCATCTCTTGGCGAAGGCGGCAAATTATCAGCCCCTCCAATGTGTTTTCTTGATCAATACCCAAGGTAACTATATACAATAGATATTATTATTCTCCTGTTGAGGAAACTGAGGTCATGGAGGTCAGCCATTTTAACTAGAAGATGCAGGGCTTGGATTTGAACCCAGATCTGTCTGCTCCTGAAGCCCATCCTCCTTCCTCTATGTCAGCCTTTCCTGAGGGAACCAGAGAAAATTGCCTCTTAGAGTAAGAATGTACTCAGGTGACTGTAAGTTTCACAGCCACGGAGACCACACTGTGTTACCCACTAGTTTCCATCCACGGTTACTGTGTGATGGACATTCGCACTCAGTTACAGAATGAATGACGGAAATCATAACTGAATGTGAGATGGCCCCCCATCGTGCCAGAGTCACAGGTGTCATCTAGAGAGTGGAGGCTCTGCCGCTGCTCCTCGCTTGCCTCTCACTGTTCTCAGTCACTGCTCTGCTCGGTCGGGTCTGGAAACTGCACTGTCCTGCAGGACCCGCTGCCATAATGGAAATGTTCCACCAACATGCAATCCACTGCACGCACACACATGACCACTGAGCCCTGGAAATGTGGCTAATGTGATGGGGAAACTGAGTTTTTAACTGTATTTCATGTTTACATACTTATATTGAAATAGCCGTGTGTGGCCAGTGGCTGCTGAGCTGGACAGACAGCTCTAGAGAGTCTGTTTCAGATGATGTACAGGCTCAGTTGTTGGGATTAACCTGCGTCATGAAAACAGCTAAATATGCTGCTTTTCCTTGAAATTATCAAAGAACTAAGTAATTGGTAGGTCCTCAGAGAGGGGAACTGAGCACTGAAATTGCTTCTCCCTCGGGGGAATTTGCTGGATTTGACAAACTTGAATTACAGTTTTCATGACGTCTCAGGGAACAGACAGGAAATGAAGTCCAGTCCCACCCATGGTAGAGACCCCCCTAGGAGACCCGCCCCTCTGTAAAGCTGGACCCCAAAGGGCCGCACCCTTGGTGCAATGGTGAGCCAAGTATAATCTCAACCCCCTGCTCCTACCACAAGGCGCTGGTCTTGCACATTACCTGTGATTCCAAAACCTTCAGGCCATGAATTTAAAGAGGCCTCTGACTGGCAGTGCCTGAGGGCACCGGCAGGAACAAATGCCACTCCTTTCTGGAGGGGCACACCATCATCCAACTACGAAGTCCCACAGATTATATTCCAAGGAAAAGCAAGGTGGTGATCATTAGTGTTGTCCACCAGCTATTTCTGTCTCTCTGCCTTTCGGAAATATGGCAGGAATGCCCTTCGATACCTCCTTTGAAGTGAGGCATGACTAAGTGACTTGCTTTGGTTAATAACAGGTGAGTATTAATAACGTGAATGTTATTAACCAAAGACCAAAGCTTATGAGTCATTGCAGAATTTCCTGCCCTCCCAAGCAGATCTGTGGAAGTAAAGCTAGAGTTGGAGGTGCTGTCAGCCTGGGTTCTTGAGTAAGTAGGATGACTGGAGCCTCCTAATGGCCTATGTTGGACTTAGAGCATGAGCAAGAAATACACTCTTGTCGTGATAAGATTTTGGAAATTTGGGAGTTTTAAAGGACAAGCTGGAGTATATCTGCAGGGGTGGTCTTTAGAAATACAGCTGGCAAACAAAAGTCAGCCCTGTCTAGTCCCCCGGAGAATCTCATACATGCTGGAAAACAGAGAAGTGATGTCTGGTGCTTTCATCTGGTTCCTAGCCAAGGCGAGGACAGACCAGAGGCGCTGAGAGAGTCCTTGTTCTGCTCTCCACTGCTGCTTAAAAACCTCCCAAACAGAGTGCTGTAAATCAACAAACGTGTTACGCCCTTGGAGTCTATGGGTCAGGGATGCTGAAAAGGCACAGCAGGCGGCCCGTCTCCGCCCTGGGACGTCAGGTGCATCGTCTGGGAAGGTGTGAAGGCTGCTTGGGCTTCCTCAGGGCTCAGTGTCTGGGTGTCAGGCAGCCCAGAGAACCAGGTGGAAGCTGCTGTTCCTTTTATGAACGACCCTCAGAAGTCACATAGCGTCGCCTCCTCTGCAGTGACAACTTGGCCCAGGTTTGAGGGGAGGGTCTATGTCAACAGGAAGACCAGCTCTTGTAAGAAGAGCATGGGGATAAGCGACGTTGTTGCAGAGTCTCTCTCTCAGGTAACCCTTTCCCTGGCCCTTGGGAAGCTCAGGGCCCACGGCCATTGTCCTCTGCCTCTTCCCTCTCCTTTCTCCTCAGCAACAGAACCAAGACGTGCCTGGTATCAGCCGCTTCCTGAGGTTTACTAATAACCCTGTGACTGAACCATACATTGCATTCCCACTCTGTGTTTTGCTTCTCTCTCTCTCCCCCTCCCTACTTCCCTCCTCTCTCTCTCTCCTCCCTCCTTGTTTCCAGCAACCTCTCTGTGCTTCATTTCTTCATCGGCTTAAATAGGTTATTAATTTCAGGCGAGAAGGTGATTATTTGTTGAGCACGTATTATGCGCCTCCTATGTGTCTACCATAAAAGGCACAATAAGGATCAGTTAAGAAATGTGAAAATTCTTCAGAGTCATTTAAACTGTGCCTTGAGGGTGACTCTAGCAGGGACAATGGCTGGATGGAGCGAGGGGCCGGGCTCTGAGCAGGCTGCATGGTGTCTCAAGGCTGCCATTGCAGGTGTAAGAGTTGTGTCAGGAAAAGAGCGCCCAGCTGGGGAGTTGCATGGAAGCTGAAGACCAGCTTGTGTGCTGCCTCCCAAACCAGGCACCTGTGGCTGTGTCCACCCTGCAAGAGAGGCTTTCTCTAACTCACCGATGGCTCTCATACGAGGGATAGGACACTTGCCCATGACTCAGGCAGACACTGTAAGGAGATGAGAGAATCAGAGGGAGGAGTGAGAGACAGAACAGGGCAGAGGCTCTCTGTGAACCCAGGGCTCCAGTGGGGCGACCCGTAGGCATTTGCTCTGTCCCGCCAGCCCAGCACAACTTTGGGAGACTGGACCGTTGGGATCCTCTCAGTGCTTCAGACACACCGTTTCACACTATGTAGATATCTGGGGTGAATTTATATGTCAAAAAAATGTACGTATGTAAATCTCTTGCTGTTCTCTCATTGTACAAAAGATCTTTGTGACCAAAACAAGACTATCACACTTTCAACTCCTTAATCATACACATGATGTTCCAAAGAATTGCCACCCACACCTTTATGTCAAGTTGAAATGACATTTCCCAACTTACACGGAGAGCAAAGGGTTATGGGAGGAAAGGGCTCACCAATCCCCTGGGTTTCACAATATTTCTTTTTATAGCCCTATCAGAAAAATTTTGGGTGCACACCTGCAATATGTTTACTTTTTTTGAGTATTTTATAATATGTATATATGCTACATCTGTAAAACAATTACGCATATTGTAAAGTATACACTATACACGGCTAATAAAAAATGTTTAAAGAATAATCTGTGATAAAAGTTTAAAAATTACATTAGTTTTCATTATGAAATAGACATAAACATTGGCACTCCCAAAATGTACCACAATTCAGTGATATGAAAGATAACATTAACATTAACAGCATGTTGGTGAGAGAGTGTGATTGTAAAGGAGTCCTCTCTGACATCTTGTTTTAATGATTTATAACGCATTCACATGAAGGCCTAGGTCTGTGCATGATATATCTCTGCATATGTTAATAATTATGACATTTTCAAGCACAAAAATAGTCACTGCTTGATTTTGATGGCTGGGGGGGGGTACTGTCCAATATGAGAAGACAGGGTTGTAGGAAGACAATTGTTGGCTGAGTATATTTTTCCCAGTTCTCCCCGGGTTACAGTACTTCACGCTGCCACGAGGCCCCGCACGGCCTTCCCCTCAAGGTTCAGCTCCCCCTGTGATTCTCACACGGTCCCTCTGCAGAGCCTGACTGGACACCTTTGCAGATACTCTCGTGGGTGCGCTGCTCCTTTCCCACCACCGTCTCCCCAAGCGTGAAATCCACGTCAACGGGCTGGTCACGTCTAGTGGACGCTTTTCCTTTAAAAGAAGCCCCAGACCATATATTGGGGTGAACGACCCCTTCATCGATGGAAGAATGCTGGTTACTTTTTATGTCTACAAGACACCCCATTTTGGAATTGATGAACAAAAAGGACAATTGCCACTTTTATGCCAGATTAAGAATTTATTAGGAGGTTAACAAGGGACCTTTTATTGCATCTCCAAAGACCAAAAGAGTGACAAGGAACATTTCTTCCAATTGTGTTTAGTTTCATAGTGTGCCCATCGGCAGTATCACATTTAATGTGATTATTTTTCAGTCACATCTAGATAAGTACCTGTTGAAGCGTAACACTCACGTTATGCGAAGGTGTCTCTGTGGGAATAGATACTGCTTGATCCTGTTACAGATTTCTCTACGAGTCTCAGAAGACAGAGACAGTAAGTGGACTCTGTCTTCTCTTAGGTAAAGATCAAGCCCGGAAACTCAGCGAAGCCTCGAGGCAAACCCTGGAAGCTGGTGCTGATAGACGTTTCTCCCTTTACCCAGAGTGGTCATTGTTGGAGATGCTGGGATGAAGCTGAGGTGAGATGTGACTTCAGAGCCCTTCTCCTCCCCCGGCGCTGGGGCCTCTAGCACACAAAGGTACTGCAAGGCCCACACCGAGCGCGCGGGGCACAAGGGTTGGAGACACAGGGTCCAATGGGCTTGTCACATGCGTTGGTTGTAGCACATGGATTGCAGGGGAGGCTGAAGATAAAACCGTTGGGGCAAGTTAGGCCAGAATGAGCTGGCGAAATAGGAAGACACTAAACACACTCTTTTTCTATCTTTCTTCCTTTGCTGCCAACCAAAAGCTTGAAGTTATAAATTCATTCCCATCAAGAAGACTTTTCCTCCCCGCAGCAACCTCATGTGCCCTCCAGGACAGTATAACTGGCTTCACACTCACTTGCAGTCCTCGCTCTCCAGAAGGTTCCGGTACGTGTTGATCTCACACTCCAGCCGGGCCCGGACGTCCAGCAGCACCTGGTACTCCTGGTTCTGCCGCTCCAGGTCGCCCCGGATCTCGGCCAGCTGGGACTCCACGTTGGTGATCATGCACTGCACCTGGGCCAGCTGGGAGCTGTAGCGGGCCTCCGTCTCCGTCAGCGTGTTCTCCAGGGAGTCTCTCTGTGTGGGGAAGGTGAGGAATGTCACAGAGCTGCTCCTTTAACACGTCCCTCCATAGACTCCCAGAGCAGTCACAAGCTCCAAGAGTTAAAGAGACTAGGACCCAAAGGGCAGCCCTGTGACTGATTCTGCAGCCTCGCTTTCTCCCCAGGTGTCTGAACACTACCCACCAGGTTGTGCTGGGCCTGCAGCTCGATCTCCAGGGCGTTGACTGTGCGTCTCAGCTCGATGATCTCCGCCTGGCAGGTCTGCAGCTGCTCTGAGCTGGACACCACCTGCTTGTTCAGCTCCTGGGTCTGCAACAAGGTGAGACACAGGATCAGGCCCTGCCCTAAGGGTCCCACGCTCCTGGGCGGCCCGGTGCCGAGGTGCCCACCTGGTTGGTGTACCATTCCTCCACGTCCCTGCGGTTGGTCTCCACCAGGGCCTCGTACTGGCACCTGGTCTCGTTGAGCACGCGGTTCAGGTCCACGGTGGGGGCGGCGTCCACCTCCACGTTGAGGCGGTCTCCGATCTGGCAGCGCAGGGTGTTGACTTCCTGATGGGAGATTTAAAATATTTGACCAGTAGTTATTAAATGTATAAGATTTAATGATTTGAAATATCACAGAAGATCCCGATCCTCTCCTCTGAGAATGCAGTTCAACTTGTGATGGTTCGGAAGCTTTGGGCAGCTCAGTCCCTTTGGTCCTCTCATTTACTGGGCTCTATATTCATGACTAATCTGTGTGTCCAAGTGCTTTCAAGTCCATGACCACCTTCCACCTCGTGTTCAGTGTCCCCCTCCCGGTTTAGAAGGTGAGATGTAATGGGCCACTATTCTCGCTGTGGGCCCCCAACACCAAGTTCAGTGTTTTTGCCTGTAAACCAATGTAGCCTCTTAGGTTGGATTCTTAACCATGATTAATAAAAAGGACAGGGTCTGGCTAAAGAGGAATTAAAGAGCGCTTCCTTCAAAATCTGCCCTCCTGGCATAGAATAGACTTGACTGGTGACCTATTGATTCCACCAGGATAGATTTTGCTGGAGGAAATAAGTCCGTTCATTTCACTGCTCATCTCACAGAGCCAGCGTTGTGTGGTGCTTGGGTTTAGGTGGGCGTCAGACAGACCTGAATTGGGTCTCATCTCTACCACTTACTATATGGCTTCTAGAAGCTTCTAAAAGCCCCAGTTTCTACCTGGGGAGCTCTAAAGCACTTACTGCAATGTTTGGCACACAACACACACTTGATTGATATTAGCTATCATCATTTACATTGCTCGGGAATTTAAGGTTTGCACGAAATGTCAGTCTTCCTTATCGTGCGACCAGGGAGGGGGGGTGAGCGTTTTTTCAGTGTCTCCTCCAGGCAGTCCTGATCAGCAGAAAGAGCTCTGAGTGAGAGGAAGAGACGGGTTTTGTTTCCAGCTCAGCTCCTCTCTGCTGAGTGGAGAGGCCTCATCTGGCCTCTCCAGTTGCTAAATGGAGAATCTGTATAAAAGCTCTCTGCAGACCCACCTGCTCTGACCGGGGACCAGAGGAGGCTGCCTCGTTGCTGACCTCTCCTCGTTTATTGGGCTCGCCAACTTCCTTCACTCTCATCCCTGCCTCTGGGTGAAAAATCCTAATCTGCTGTCAGGGATTTTTAAGTTACTGATTCTTGACAAACTCCTTTTAGTTTGAACACGTTCCCTAGCCAGCTGAGGCTCTCCCGCACCCCGTGGGGTTGGAAACAGGCCTTGGCAAGTCCAATCCCGTTGCTCCTTGGGGAACCTCACCTGCTCGTGGTTCTGCTTGAGGCAGAGCAGCTCCTCCTTCAGGGACTCCACCTGGGCCTCCAGGTCGGACTTGCACAGGGTCAGCTCGTCCAGAATCCTGCGCAGGCTGGTTATGTCTGACTCCACCAGCTGCCGCAGGCCCATCTCCATCTCGTACCTGCGATACATACAGGAGCATTGGAGACAGGCCTGGCCTTGACTCTGGTTTGGTTTGTCAGATAACTGGGAGCTGGGGCTTATGGTTTGTACAGCCATCTCCTTCATTTAGGTTTTTAACACTGAGCAGTAGCTCCCAGAGAAAAATGCACTGGTAATTATGTTTAATAAATAAAGAGCCAGTGGACTGAAGGAGATAAAATCCCATGAAAACGATGAGATGTGCAAAATTAATACACCTCCCAGATTCTCCCAGTTGGCCGCTGTGCCTAGTAGAGCGTCGGGGAGCAGGCTTCTGCACTAGGTTGGGGGATGGGTTCTACAGAGAAGCAGGAGGAAGAATCTGGACCCGGAGAAGAGATCCCTGAGCTCTGCTGAGCCTTGAGACCGTGGGGGAAACACCCAGGGAAACCCTTTGTCGACGTTTGTCAGTGTTGAGGACAGGCTAAGCTGACAGAGAGGACAGAGAGAAGGCAGTGCCTGCCTGCCACTCACTTGGTCCTGAAGTCGTCTGAGGCCAGCTTGGCGTTGTCAGTCTCCACCACCAGCCGGGCGTTCTCGGATTTGCTGCACAGGATCTAGAAGACCCAAAACGTTCTAGGGTGAGCCTGGTTATTTTAAAGCTAGCAGCCATCCCTCTAATTCATTTACCTGGAAGGAGTAAAATGAGAAAAATCACAGTGGATCCTAGATCAGACTATTAAATGCTACCCATGTGCTCAATAAACATTTGAGAAATTAAATTTGAAAAGAACACCAAAATAGGCGGGAAAAGTATCCGTAGATCAATGATCTCTCTCTTTCCTAACAAGCAACACTGAGAAGCTGATGACAAGTAACATTTATTTTTAAAAACTTACTATATGTCTGGCATGGTTCTAAGAGCTGAGGATAGGAACATGAGTAAGCACTAGTTCTTGCCCTCAAGAAACTTCCAATCCAGCGGGGAAGATAGTAAACTAGCAGCCGGGGAGATGGGGGGTCAGGGGAGCAGCCGCGCCCTCCCGGCCACCCACCCAGCATGGGTTGGCACTATGTCCTGGTAGGTCGTTTTCACTCTTTCTGGTTCTGTCCAATCATTTTATGCCCTCGCTGGGCAGTGGAGGCATCGAGGTCAGGATAGTGAAGTCAAGGAGGTTAGGCACCCACAAGAGGACAGCAGTAAGAGGCCAGAGCAGTCAAAGTCCAGATGAGGGAGAGAGAAAATGGTCCTGTCTTTACAAAAGGCTCCGCTTCCTCAGCTCCCTTCTCGGGCTCAGTCTTTTCTCTCACCCCAGGGTAATAATTCCAGAGCTTGGCAAATGCACAGAAGCTTTTAATTACAGCGTATTTATGCAAAGTGCTGCTCTACCTCCACATAGACTAACACTATGCAAATATTCAGACCTAACAGTCCTGGGCCTAGAAGAACATGGGCCTCAAGAAAACAAAACAGAAAAGCCAGACTCGAGCCCCTGCCTTTCAATCACCCTGAGAGCTCATCTTGTTTCCGAATCATATCTCAGATGCCCAGGCAGTGCGGTGCCCACCCTCACCTTCTGCTGCAGCTCCTCGATGGTCCGGAAGTAGGACTGGTAGCTGGGGCACATCAGGGGCTCCTGGGGCTGGCACCGCTCCTGGATGAGGCTCTCCAGCTCCGCATTCTCCCGCTCCAGCTGCCGCACCTTCTCCAGGTAGCTGGCCAGGCGGTCGTTGAGGAACTGCATGGTCTCCTTCTCGCTGCCATTGAAGGAGCCCTCGCAGAACCAGCCGCAGTTGCCCACGTTGGCGGGGATGTTGCAGGCCCCGGGCAGGGGGATGTTGTGGCAGCTGGGGGCCACGCAGGGCCGGGAGGGGCAGCCGGAGCGGCAGCTGAGGCTGGGCAGGCAGCAGCTGTAAGGCATGGTGCTGGGAGGCAGCGAGGCGCCGGCTGAAGACAGAGTCCCAGTTCTCCAAGGAGCGTGTGGGTCCCCCACCCCCGGGAGCATTTATACCCCTTCTGCAGAGGGTGTGGACCTGGGAGGCAGCGCTTTTATTCCTACCCATTTGGCGATTGTCAAAAGCCCTTCCCCCCGGTTTGTTGTTTCCTCAGAAGAGTCCCTCACCTCATAAAAGTCTTTACTGGGGCCTCTCCCTGCCTCGGGACTCCCGGCCCGTGCTGAGCGTCGGTGGGTAGGAGCCTCGCGGCTCGGCTTCAAAGAGCTGGCCCGTGAACGCCCGGCCTTTACGAGGGGCGCGGCGGCCGGGCACCGTGGGCCTTTGCGTCCTGGCTCCGCAGCCCTGACTCCTCGGCAAGCCTCTGGCTCTTCTCGCTAAGAGGGCAAACCCTCGCTCCTGCCTGTGTGTCTTTTGCTCGGTCAAATTTCCAGATGCCGGGTTCCAAATTCGTGGTTCTCAGAAAGAGGAATAGATGCCTCTGGAACTGATAAAACAGCCTGGTTCCCGATAAGCGGGCACCACCCATATCCGTGATAATGCCCATCAACCCAGTAACAGGTATTCACCCGGATCAGAGTTCATGCAGAGCACTGTGGGGAATGGAGGGTAAGGCCAGGGCTAGGGTCAGAAGGAGCTGGCACTTGCTGGGTACCTGCGCAGGCCCAAGGTGGACACTTTTCAGAAACGTGATCTCATTCACTCCTCACCATGACCCTTCGTGGGTATGCGGTATTATTCCCATTTTACAGGTGGGCAAACCAAGCCATAGAGGGTAGGACTTAACATGTTATGAAGTCAGGATGCCAGCACTGATCTCTGTTCTTTCTACCACACCACGCTGCTTAAGTGAGCGAACGACCTCCTTCCCTAACTTCTGATAGATCCTCTCTTCCTCCTCTCTCATCTCACCTTGAACATGGTGTTGTCATGATTCTTGTGCCTACCCGTCTCCCTCTACATGAGTTCCCTGAAGGCACAAAGGACCTTTACATGAAGGACCATGTACATCTCCTTGAGTTTAGGCTTTATCTTAAGGGCAAGAGGGAGCTATTGAAGGTTCTAAGGAGAGGCATGATGTAGTTTCATTCTTGATAAGCTACATTTGAAGGAACAGGGAAATGTTCAGCAGGTCCTCGGAGTTGACTAGAATTCATGACAGAATCCCAGTGCAGACGGGAGTGCTGGAGAAATGAGCCAAGGGGGAGAGTGTGCAAAGAAAGAGCAACAAGGGGCTGAGAAGCAGAGTCCAAGCCCCTCAGCTACAGCTGCAGATCAAAAACCAGGCTGCTTTGCTCTTCCTTTCCTCCTTCCACCTCTTAAGGTTGAGCTCAAATGCCAAAATTATCAAAAGAGAGGGTGTGGCCCACCTGGTTGAGCGTCGTCTCATACACCAAAAGGTCGGCAGTTCAATTCCGGGTCAGGGAACATACCCAAGGTTGCGGGTTCAGTCCCCAGTCTGTGGTGAGTGCAGAAAGCAGCTGATTGATGTTTCTCTCTCACATCAATATGGTTGTTTTTTTCTCTCCCTCCCTCCCTCTCCCTTCGTCTCTCTCTCTCAAATCAATTTTAAAATATTTTTTTAAAAAGAAGGAAAGCTTTGGAACAGGAGTGATGGCAGGGATCTTAATGATCATCTCATCCAATTCTTCATTTTACAAATGGGGAAGCTGAAGCTTAAATGGAGAAATGGCTTGCTTAGTGCCTTACAGTTAGACCCCAGTCTGCTGACCCCCTCCCATTCCCAGTGCCCATCACCAAGCTGCAGAAATGTTCAGTAATTTCACAACCAATCTGATCTGCCATTACCTAGGGGCAGAAATGAAAGGCAGTGAGAGGGGGGAAAGGAGAGGAAAACCTTGATATCCACAGATAGGCTTTGCTGGAGAATGAGGGGTGAATGCGGAAGTGACAGAATTCCGCAACCCTGAAGCATTCTGTTGCCTCCCTGATTTCAATTGTCATTTTTACGTTGATGATACAATTATATCCCAACAGTCTGAAGCAACTTAGGTACAATTACACCCCATCAGATACAGACTTTGGAAAAGCTTAGAATCACAACTGTTCAAGGTTCAATGACACTACTCAAGAGCAATACACTCACCCAAAATAAGGCAAGTAGTCATAATAAAATTAAAAATAATAGGATTTTAACAATGAGAACAATTGAGAGATTAAAAAACACACAACACCACAATGATGACATGGGATGCTTTTAAATGGTAAGCTGAGGAATGATTTTTTTTGGTCTTCTCTACACTTTTTTGTCTTCTCCAGATTTTTTGTAAACATGTATTTTACTTCTGCACAAGAAAAAGACATAAGATTGACATTACACATTCCAAAAGGAAATTCTTACAAGTCTTCTAAAGAAAAAGGGACCCAGGGAAGGCTCCTATTCCAACATAATTGTTAAATTGTCCTTGAGCTTGTTGTTCTGGAAATAAAGCTTTTGTCATGATTGGCATTCAAGCCCTTGTGGTAACTGCTGAGTTTGCCAATTATTCCAAAAAGGGAGCTATTAGGAAATGATGAAAGGTCACTAAGCTTTCTATGGGATCAAACGACCTGTAGCTCATGAATTGACTGATGTGTGGGTCTGCGCTTCAGGTGAAGAGTGCCAGGAGCAGCCAGCCTTGGAGAAACACTCTTCCCAACTGACTGTCGACCCACAGCCCGAGACGACTGGGTATCGGGACCACCTCACTGAGTGACATCCTTAGAATGGATTTCCCACACGCATAGATGATGATTAAACTTCTTTTCTGCAAATAGTGTCTAAGTCATATGAAGTCTAGACTCTTAGAGTGTTGGCACTACCAAGGACCTCGGCAGTCATCTCACCCAACTCTTTCATTTTGCAAATGGGAAAACGTTGACCCAGAGGGGGAAGAAGCTTGCCGAAGCTCACACAGAGAGTTTGTGGAAGAGTCTAAAATGGGAAGAGGAAAATTAGACTAGAGAAATGGGGGACAGGAGATAAGGGCTTTGGTCTTTGTGAGAGTGTTGGAACTCAAACCATTGGGAAAAAAGACACCTCTCTCAAAAGACTGCAGCCTTAATGAAAAAGTAAACTAAAAAAGATAAATGTATGCTCATTGTTACAGGAAGATTTTTAAAAAAGAAAGGACTGAACTGGCTTTTACTGGGTTCTAAGTTTAAAATATTATGGTATATTTTAAAAAACCAGTCACAAAATACCACATATTGTAAGATTCCATTCATAGGCAATGTCCAGAACAGTCAAATCTATAGAAACAATAGGGGTTGCCTAAGCCTAGTGGATGGGGGGCAATGGGAGTGACTACTAATTGGGTACAAGATTTCTTTTTGGGGTGATGAAATGTTCTAAAATTATAGTAAAGGTTACATAACTCTACCAATATACTTAAAATCATTGAGCTATATACTATAGGTGAATTTTATAGTATATGAGTTATATATTATGGTAAGAGTTGTATTTCAATAAAGCTATTTAAAAAAAATAATTCAGAATGAGAAAACAGAATAGGACAGAAGCAATGTTCAAAACTATAATGGCTGAGGGCTTTCCACAGGTATTGAAAAACATGAGTCAATTCTAGAAGCACCTCAATCCTAAGTAGGACAGCAAAACCAGGCCCAGCCCTGGACATAATGCAGGGAAGCTACACAACACTAGAAACAAAGAGACAATCTTAGAAACAGTCAACGAACAGGAGCAAAGGATCATCAACAATAGAACCACAGCTAGACTGGCAATAGGCTTTTCAGCAATGACGACAAAACCCCAAAGACTATGGTGTTTGGGAGGCAGCTGTCCCTGATAAAGGCCACTGCAGGTAACTATTGGTGGACAGTGGTCCCAGTGTGTACAGAGAGCTGATGAGATGGATTGGACAGGGGTATTTGTACAAGGCAAGGAGGTGGTTCCTGGGAGTGAGCTAACCCTGAAGGAAGGAAGGGAGGCTGGAATGCACCCACTGGGTCTGGGACACTCTGCACAGCATGGATGTCATTTAATTATCCTCCAGGGTCTCATGCCTAAGGTCTGGATAAGGGAGCCCCAACAACATCAACAACAATGGAGTAAACATTCAAAGAACTAGAGTATGAGAGTTCAAGAATTTAAGACCAAGAATGCAGCAGGAATCGTCACAGCACGAGAAGACAGTGTCAAGGAAAGAAGACATGACTAGCAATTTGGCCAAACACTGGGACCATGGCCTTGCACAAACCACAGCACCACAGCCATGGGAGCCACCAACCTTGGCCGACATCAATGGGCATGGGCAGGAGCGGGGTACCAGCAGAGCTGTCAGTTTTCACACTGCAAAGACTTAGTTACCTAGTTTGATTCTAAAGTACTTTTTTGAGGGGAGGGGTCCCAAAATCCAAATTTAGTCCCAGTGGTTAAAACATTCAAATGAGAAGAGAAACACTTCAAAAATCTGTTGGGTATTACTCAAATTTAAGAGATGACTCTTTCTACTATTATGAGTTCTTCAGTACTGCCCCAAAGAGAGGGTTTCAAGAGATGTTTGGAGTGCTAATAGTGCCATCTCTCCCCGGGTGACAACTCTGAAAGATGCATAAACTCCGTGTGCTTGTTTGAAATCTGTTTTACTCTCATAGCCACTGACATTCAGAGAGTAGGCTCTGGACTCAGTCCCATGCTTGTGACTATGTGAGCAAGAGAGAAAATTAGTCCTGCAGCTCCTGGTATTGGTTGCTGTCCCTCTTCTTGTAGGCCCTTGGAAAAGAAAAAGTGGAACTTTCTAGAAATGGTAACCGTTGTATTTTACTAAGCAAGGGCCCATAATGAATGTGTTTATCATATTTAGATGAGGCTTCTTGCCTCTGTGGTCCCGCCGGTTCCCTGCTGGCCTGGTGCATGCTGGGGCTCCTCGTGCTTAATGAATGTTAATTAGTGATGATGAAGACCTTTCAGGAGAGGATTCAACTTCACAGTCCACCTAAGCTTTCAAGTGGGTTTATGAGAAGCACGTACCATAGAGCGAACACTTGCAGAAGAACGAACACACATCATCTCTGCTTTGCAAGAGGAAAGTTTATTAGGAGATATGCAAAGGGACTGGAGAACTATAAGAGAAGGTCAAAGCAACAGAGAGAACCACAAAACATCTCAGATGACACCTTCACTGCCCAAACCTTCCAGACCCTCGGGTCACAGAGTAACTGCAGGAGCACAGCTGTGAATAGGAGGATCAGGCAGGCTGGACGCAGAGCCAGACCAGGATTGACGGCGATGCCTGGGGTGGGGTCCTGCGGCGATGGTTGTCAGAGAAACAGGGCTGGTCCATCAGTGGTCCTTCTGTCTTCGTGCAATCCTCCTGCTGGGTTCTGGATGTCTAGCACCCAAAGGTGCTGCAGGGCCCACAGCGGGTTCGGGAGCCACAAGGGGCGCAGGGATTGGTGACACAGGGCCCGATGGGCTTATCACACGCGTTGGTCGTGGCGCAGGGGTTGCAGGGCAGGCTGAGACACAGAATCATTAGCTTGTTAGCATGAGAAGGATAATTTAAAAAAAAAAAAAAAGGAGGAGGGGGCTCAACCCAAGGAGACGTGGAGACAAGCAGAATTCCCTCTCCACCATCTTAGGAGGCCAAGCCTGTTCCGATCGCTCCTTCTGCAAAGTCAGAGGCAGTGGTGGCAGAGCAAAGCCACAGAGCAAAGAAAAGAGCAAAGCCTCGTGGTGCAATCCCAGCCCTGGTTCGGGAGCCTGGAGTTGTGGGGAAGTCCCTTCCTCCCTGCAAGCCTCATCCTCCCCCCATAAGACAGGATTAGTAAGACCTACCATCGAGAACTGTGAAAAATCACAAGACTGTGTTCATAAAAATTCTGTGTTAGGGGACAAGTGCTGGACCCTGCGTTACTGAGTCACCTTCCCTTTTGACGTTCGAATGCTCATCTACATGATGGTTGTCCGATCCCCACTCTGCCTGCCTCAGATGGGTCCAACTGGGATCCATGAAACAATGGGTTTGGGGGTTTGGGTTAAATCCAACCCTGAAGATGCAAAGCTTTATTTACCCATCAGCATCCAAAAGCTCACCAGTGGGGAATACAGTCAAGTCTCTCAGGCATCTTTTGGGCCAGAAAACACCTTTAGGCCAGGTAATGGACACAACAAAGAGCCCCCACTTCCTACTGCTGTAGAGTAAACCTCTGGTCTCGACAGACATGTCGGCTTCTGACACTTGACCTGCGAAGTCCCTGTTCTATCCCTCAGTAGAAATGGGCCATCTTGCCTGCCAGGTACTCACTTGCAGTCCTCGCTTNGATCTCACACTCCAGCCGGGCCCGGACGTCCAGCAGCACCTGGTACTCCTGGTTCTGCCGCTCCAGGTCGCCCCGGATCTCGGCCAGCTGGGACTCCACGTTGGTGATCATGCACTGCACCTGGGCCAGCTGGGAGCTGTAGCGGGCCTCCGTCTCCGTCAGCGTGTTCTCCAGGGAGTCTCTCTGTGTGGGGAAGGTGAGGAATGTCACAGAGCTGCTCCTTTAACACGTCCCTCCATAGGCTCCCAGAGAAGTCACAAGCTCCAAGAGTTAAAGAGACTAGGACCCAAAGGGCAGCCCTGTGACTGATTCTGCAGCCTCGCTTTCTCCCCAGGTGTCTGAACACTACCCACCAGGTTGTGCTGGGCCTGCAGCTCGATCTCCAGGGCGTTGACTGTGCGTCTCAGCTCGATGATCTCCGCCTGGCAGGTCTGCAGCTGCTCTGAGCTGGACACCACCTGCTTGTTCAGCTCCTGGGTCTGCAACAAGGTGAGACACAGGGTCAGGCCCTGCCCTAAGGGTCCCACGCTCCTGGGCGGCCCGGTGCCGAGGTGCCCACCTGGTTGGTGTACCATTCCTCCACGTCCCTGCGGTTGGTCTCCACCAGGGCCTCGTACTGGCACCTGGTCTCGTTGAGCACGCGGTTCAGGTCCACGGTGGGGGCGGCGTCCACCTCCACGTTGAGGCGGTCTCCGATCTGGCAGCGCAGGGTGTTGACCTCCTGTGGAGGAAGGGGAAGGCGTGAACCCACAGAAAGAGTCTAAAACTCTCTTTGAGGGGGTCTGATGACTGGGAAGAAGATTACACTGAAAGTTGGGGTTCATGAGTTGAAGCCCAGCTGATGCAAAACCTAGCTAAGCTACCCCTTGTGATGCAGGCCCCTGTCTGAGCCTCTCCTCATCTGTGTGGTGAGGCTGCTTGATTAAATCATGGCTAATGTTTCTTCCCACTCCAAGAGTCTATCATTTTCTTCTGATTTTCTCTTTTCTCAAGCCTGGCATGATAACTGGTTTATAACAGTTGCTACTTAAATATAGAGGAGCAGGTTTGCCATCTCCCATTTATTTCATGTCTACTACCATCATACGTTATTCATTAAGGATTGTTTCCTCTTCATCAGAACATCTAATGTTGAGACATGCACCTGATTCCCTAGTGTTGCATTCGACCGTGAGATCTGAATCAACCATTATGTGAGTCCCTTCATGTCTCCCAAATTCCTCATCTATCTATCCATCCATCCAGCTTGGGTTCTAATATCTGGGTGACACATAATACAAAGAATTTGCTATCCAGTTCCAGTCTTTTTCATTTGGCATCTGTTCAAAAGATAACAGATATTATCAAACAGTAGAAAGTATTTTAAATATCTTTGTCTGGACTTTTGGTTGCAGGTCAAGTCTCAAGTAGAAAAAAATCAGCTGATCACACTTTTAGATTTAAAAGAGAGAGAGAGAGAGAGAGAGAGAGAGGCCTGTGACTCATCCCACAACAATTCCTCAAATTTCGAGCAACCAGCAAAGGGTTATGTTAGCTCTAGGGTGCTGAGCAAAGACCCACCTTATCCTGCCCAGGGGAGCTATAGAACTCTCAGTATTGGGATGTTGGGGGCTGGGACTCCCTCACCTGCTCATGGTTCTGCTTGAGGCAGAGCAGCTCCTCCTTCAGGGACTCCACCTGGGCTTCCAGGTCAGACTTGCACAGGGTCAGCTCATCCAGGATCCTACGCAGGCTGGTTATGTCCGACTCCACCAGCTGCCGCAGGCCCAGCTCCGTCTCGTACCTGCAACACACAGCCAAAGGTCAAAGGAGATTAAAGAGGAACCATTTCTCCCAGGCTTTACTTGGCTGACCTATATTTTGAATTTTTTGAAAGTTTATGAAACAGAAAAATATCACCCTGCTGAGTAAAAAGACCTATTTCTTCCCTGAGACCCAGAGAGAAGGTTCTAATGGAATAGTTAACTGCATCTGTTCTAAGAATCCCATTCACAGGTTGCTGTGAATAAGTCCTGTCATCTGACCTTCTTAAGTGAGTCTAAACTTCATACACCTGCTGTGCAGATTGTCTCGCCCTCCTTTCCAACCACCCTGAGAGGCCCTCTGGTGTGAGAGAAGCGCTGAATTAGAAGCCAGTGAGATTCAACCTTGGCATTATGACTGTGGATAAGTTTCTTAGTCCCTCTGAGCCTTGACTTCCTCATCTGTAAAATGGGAACCACACTAGCACTCATCGGGTTGGCCTGAAGATGAAGAAAGGACATAGGTCAAATGACATTGTCAACTGTAGAGTCCCATCAAAATACAAGGGACTTTATGACTGTAATGGCCATACCTAGAAACAGTGATCAGTTCTATGAAATGGATTTTGCCTCCTGTATTTTAATGGGCTGATTTTCACTAACCTATACTAAGAAATTGGTGTGAAATTCACTTTTCACACTTGGTCCAGACATGAAGTAGAAAGAGAGAAAAAATGGGTGGTTTCTTGTGCTCCTTCAGACTAAACCTAGAACACAGAATCTTAGCATTCTGTGAGGAGACTTGAACACATAGCCCAGTGCAGGAATCCTCCCAACAGCATCCAGACAGCTTCGGCTTGCACGCTCCCAGGACAGACTCCATCACTTTGCCATTCAGCCTGCCCCTTACTAGACTTCTCTGATCATTAGAAAATTCTCACTTGGTCCTGAAGTCGTCTGCGGCCAGCTTGGCATTGTCAATCCGCGTCACCAGCCTGCCGTTCTCCGCCTTGCTGCACAGGATCTGGAGCCGGAATTAATTGTGAAATGAGTTATTCTAAGAAAGAATGCCTTGTGTCTTAACGTGAAAAGCTATTTCACATCAGCTACATTTCTTCCAAATACGTAGCTTAGAGTCTTCTCAGATTTTCAGTTTGGGGATGAAAGGATGATTGATAGAACTGATCATTTCGAAACTAGAACAGCCCAGGGCAAATGTGCCCGCTGTCAGGAATTCTTCCCTTCTAGGTCTGCTGCTGGCCTCCTGTGGGGAGTGGTCATCCTGGGTACCAGCCTCACATAGGGGGAGCAGTGTCCCCATTGGCTTAGGACTAGGGGGTTCCTGGGCTAGCAAGACCACATTCCCACATTCCCCAGCTTCCCCACATAACCCACATTTCCCTCCTTCCCCAGCTCTCCCAGGGGATCACTTCCTCCGCGAGTTCTCTCAGTCCTTTGCCCTTAGCCAGTTACGCTTCTCATTACTTTCACCATGGTCATTCATTTTCACATCTCTCTCCCCTACTGGATTATTTTAGTACTTCATCCCTCGCTGGCACTAATATGCACGCTCTTCAGATGACACGGCCCTTCCCTGGCGCTCACTTTGCCAGAATACAGAATAGTGGACAATAGATCCCCTCCGAGAACAAAGAGCTTGTGCAACTGGCATAGACCTCATCCTTCAAACTCCACTCAAGTGTGGCCTCTTCTGGGAAGCCCTCCCTGCTTTACCCTTTGTATTAAGTCCCACCTATATGCTGACTCTTTACTCGTCCCCACTCTGCTCCTGCACTTCTGGCCCGCAATTCTCATTTGCGTGCCTGCCTGCTCTAGTAGGTGGCGCAGTGTCTGTGCATATTAGTGAGGCTTTTGGAGTCGAGGGCTCTTTTGCTTTTTTTACAGTCTATTGCTACAGTTCTGAAAGGATTTAAATATTTGAGAATTCACTAGCAAACTTCCTAGCTCCAAGAAATAATTTGGGTGCGTTGTGGTTTTTTTTTAATGCTATAGGCTCTGAAAACAAGACCAGGATATCACAATACGAACTGAAGAAGCTGATGCTCTGGTTTTAGGCAAGAAGCAATATAAGATTGCTATGGCTGATTTTGGCCTAATGCCTTACCCTCCCCCAAGTCTGTATCTTTCCCTCATGGGGCTTCCCAAGCAGATGTTCGAAGACTACTCGATGGGCCACACGTAAGCTGACGACGAAGCCTTGTCTTCATCCGTGTCAACATTAGCTTCGAACAGTGTTAAATCCATTCAGAAGTGGGTATGTTAGATTTGGATAAATAGTTCACTAAATTNAAGTGCTGCTCTACCTCCACATAGACTAACACTATGCAAATATTCAGACCTAACAGTCCTGGGCCTAGAAGAACATGGGCCTCAAGAAAACAAAACAGAAAAGCCAGACTCGAGCCCCTGCCTTTCAATCACCCTGAGAGCTCATCTTGTTTCCGAATCATATCTCAGATGCCCAGGCAGTGCGGTGCCCACCCTCACCTTCTGCTGCAGCTCCTCGATGGTCCGGAAGTAGGACTGGTAGCTGGGGCACATCAGGGGCTCCTGGGGCTGGCACCGCTCCTGGATGAGGCTCTCCAGCTCCGCATTCTCCCGCTCCAGCTGCCGCACCTTCTCCAGGTAGCTGGCCAGGCGGTCGTTGAGGAACTGCATGGTCTCCTTCTCGCTGCCATTGAAGGAGCCCTCGCAGAACCAGCCGCAGTTGCCCACGTTGGCGGGGATGTTGCAGGCCCCGGGCAGGGGGATGTTGTGGCAGCTGGGGGCCACGCAGGGCCGGGAGGGGCAGCCGGAGCGGCAGCTGAGGCTGGGCAGGCAGCAGTTGTAAGGCATGGTGCTGGGGGGAGCAGAGCTCTGCAGGTCAGTTTCAAAGCCTGATTCCTTTCCTCTGGTGTCCACCCTGGTCCTCTCCTAGGCCTTTATATTCTGTCAACTATGGGTGTGGCCACCACCTACAGCATCGTCCCCTTTTGCCCTGTTTACCAATGTTTCCATTCATTTTTTAGCCACCTCACAGGAGTCCTTTACCTCATAAAATGTTTTACTCTGGCTTCTTGCTAAGTCAGGACTCCTCCCAATGGCATCACGCTGGTTGGTTAAGTAAAAGCTTCAAAGCAACCAGCCTATTACCTTGCCAGCAGGAGCTCTTATTCACGGGGCGCTCAGGCGGATTGACAGCTGTACGCTGTCCCCCCCGAGTTGGGGGCACTTCTGTGCCTTTTTGTCCTGAACAAGGACTGGTCTGTGCCCCATCCAGCTCATGCTCAGCAAGGACTCGGTGAGAAAAACCATGTGCGAAGCCCACCCGGAAAGCAGACTGTTGGGTAGGGACCCTGGAAGCTGAGGCCAGGAAGGACTTGGAGGCCGTCCAGTTCGATGTCCCTTGGCCACTCCATCCAGGGCAGGCGGAGGCACTGGCAGCCTCTTCCCAGTGGGGGCTGCAGGAAGCCCCCCAGGCTCCATTCCGACTCCTCCTCAGTGTTCACAGAACATTCAGAAAACTAACCTCTCGGGACCTACTGAGCGTGAGGACTGTACCATGTGCTTACACACAGTATGACTGTTCCTAGAAAGGCTCCTGCTTCAGTCCTCATGAAACCCTGTAGGTGAGGACTCCAAGCGTCCGAGACGTTGCCGGTGCTCACAGAGCTCCCCCGTGGCGGAGCCAGCACTCAAGCCCCGAGCTCCGAGTCCAACGACCGAGCTCCCTCCATCACCAACTGTCTCTCTCCCGATCTCCTCACTCCTGAGATGCAGTCGTACACAAAGGGGTTGAATTCATGGGGACTCAACCACTACTAGGCAACACCCCCTCCTAAGGTAGACTGGGCCGAGAAATAAAAGCCCGCTCTCTACCAAAGAAGAAAAAGTCATTTTTATTCTAATGGAAGGAAGCCTGCTTGGTGGGAAAGTGTAATGCCCTCCAAAAGCTAGAAAAAAAGGAAACCCATGGTGGTTTCGACATAGAAACACCTGAACCCAGTTCTCCAAAGGATGTGACCCTGAAAAGCAGCCACTATGTTATGTGCTTAATGGCGTCACGTGACCGTCTATTTTGGCAAACATATCCTGCCCTCATGCTATTCCAGATGGAGGCAAGAACTGTGAAAGATTTTTATGCTTAATCTATCAGTGCTCAAAATAGGCAAGCTACTCCTGAAAGTAGTTCCTTTGGGAAGCTCCATGCTGATTCCTCCCCAACAACCGTTGCTCAGATCACCCCTTCCTCAAGCTTGTCCCCACAGCCTGTGACATTTATTTTCCTTATCCTTATTGAAGGGCAAATCTTCATCTTCTGAGGGTGTGTGTATTTTTGGAATCAGCCAGATATCATTTGGAACCAGCTCTAGTGAGTGGGATAAACAACCAAACTAAGTAGCATCTTTAATGGGTCAGAAACATGTTGTCACTGTAAAGTAATCATGTAGGCTTTTCTTGGGTGATTCTAAAAGTCATTTCTAAGCTAGAGCTTCAAATACCCTTTCCTAAGAGACGGCAGCTTTGGAGAAGCCATGCGGCCTCCCAGGGCGGATGCTCGGAAGGCGCTGACACGCTCTCCCGGTTCACGGCCCGCGGCTCCCCGCCCCGCCTGCCCGCGTCTCTGCCTTTGGGGAGAGGTGGAATGGGTGCGCGGGCTTCAGAAAGGTGCCACACTGGCTGGAGCCCTATTGGCTGAGACCAAATAACCCAGAGCGAGTAGCTGGATTCCTAGGCTTTTCTCTGTCTTTCTCCCCCATCTTCTATAGTCCAAGCTTCAAAAGAGAACCGTCCAGACAATGGCACTTTTTAAAGAGGAGAGGCATACTGTGTTCTCAACCGGCTCGTGTGTCCTTGGGATCCCTGTAACCATGACTGTAGCTTCTGGGTCAGTCAGAGTGGAATAAGCCAGAGGGGAACATCCTTATATCTTCAACAGTGGGAGGCAGAGTGTAGAAAACATGACTGTTCCACTTCTGAGGAGCAGTGACTGTGATTGCCGCACAGCTGCCTGGCCGAGAGGACTTGGGCCTATAGAGAGAAGAGCCAGGCTTCAGTGAGCTGCCGGGAATTCTGGACGACAAATGCCTTCTGCCCATCCCACTGACTGCGTGTGGAGAATTCTTGCCTCTGCGTCAGCCATGGCATTGCCTCCAGTCGATGGCCCTTCAATAAACTGATGAGCAAATCGAACCCTAGCGAACAGGAAGGCTTTACACCTGCCCGTGTAATTGCGGCAGACGCCCTGGTAAGGCTTCTGGTTTCCAGATGTGAGCAAATTGCAGTTGAGATGTAAGGGGACTGTTTATGATGGAAGCCAAGGCTATGTTCGTGGGAAAGATCACACATAAATTCGTCAGTGGTGGTTAACCATGAGTGGAGTCAGGGCAGACCTTTTGCTGAGGCCACCCTCCCTGTGGCTGGACTTTAAAGGCATTAGGAGGCCACCCCTCTCGTCCCCAAAACATCTTCCCTTGTGGCCAGGCACTGGCACTTGAGATTCTCACTATGAGAAATAGAGACTTGACTTGGGGTGGTGAATGCATAACACAGTATACAGATGATGTATTATAGAATTGTACACCTGAGACCTATATAATTTTATTAGCCAATATCACCCTCCCCCCATAAATTCAATAAAAAAGAAAAAAGAGAAATGTAAAATGTGTTTTCTAGGGAATGCGAAGTAATTTGTTGGACCACTTGTCAATTCATTGTATTTTAATGTGTACACATGGCAAGGAGAGGCCAACAATAGTATCAATAAGCACACACAGCAGTAGGTCTGACTTACGCCAGGGTCAGATGAAAAGTCACCCACTGGGGAATTAGAGAAGCAGACACACTGTCAGTACCAACACCAGCCCATTATGTTGAGCCAACCCCGGTTAGAGCTGCTTATGAGACCGGGATACAGGGCTTCCATAGACTGTTCCATAAAGTCCATAAAGGTGACTGTTGCCAAGTTATCGACTGCCCAGCCTCACTACGCTGAGGGGAGGAGTCGCGATGGTAATCCAAGGACTAAACCAACAGTTTTGGCTCTGAGATGTTTAAACAAGGCTTCCAATGAGGGACAAGCAGGAGAGGACCTAGAGAATGAGCCAGGTCAGGAGAAAGATGCCCTGAGCAAAGAGAGGAACAACCCCCTCAAAATGGAATTCGGGGCTCATTCCACAAACCCTCCCCAGAGCCATCATTGTGTCTCTTTACTCGGTCCTGGACTCCCAACGGGAATGGGGTCCCAACAGAGGTCTTAAGGGACAAACCAAGTCAGAAAAATGCAAAGTTCACCACTATGTCTTTAACTCTGCCCAGCCTAGAATAGAGAAGTCAAACGGAGCATGAAATGATCCAAAGCAATGTAACTTAATCGTCCTAGTCCTCTGGGAAAGCTGGACTCAGACGGAATGAGAACCTGTTTGTGCAACTGCTCTGCAGATCAAAAGGGGCAGCAGATGCTAAAACAGTTTCAGTAGCCCACAGAGGACACAGCCAAGTAGGCTTCGTGCTTAGTATGAATGTGTTGTTTTGAACTTCTGCATTAAGGTCGCTATCAAGTTGATGATTTGAGGCAGATGTGAAAGAGCCCCAGAAACACGGCTTCTTCCCCAGCATCCCACAGACCCTGCCCTCCTTACAGTTCCCACTGATCTCCCCGTTGCTCTTTCCAGTGGATTTGTCTGAACTCTCTCTCATCTTTGACCTGGATGCTACTGACCATCCCCTCATCAAAACTCTGACTTCTTTTTACTTCTGTGTCACTTCAGCTGCTCCTCCACTTCCCTCTCCAACTGCTTTTAACCAGATGTCATCACTGTCTTCAGAGACCCAGCTAAACCAAGGCAGAACCTCATGTCAGGGACTTCGGAGAGCCCCAGGCCTGCTCTATCATTTCTATCAGTGGTCCCCAAGGTTCTTCCATATTCTAACACCTTTCCCTTGACGATCTACTATGGTTAGGTAACTCCAATATCTCTCCCAAATCCAGTCTTTTTTTTTTTTTCCAGCTCTTTCTACTGGAGATCCACCATTGTTTTATTTTCTCAGGATCAAAAACTTTGCTTATGTTGACCCATAGCAGGTATCCAATCAGTACTAGTTTCCCTTCATCTCACTCCATTGTTTTTCTACCTCCAAGAAGCTTCCATGTCCCAA